CATCAGTATCACTATCTGCTTCTTCATCCTCTTCATCCAAAGTTCCCCGAGTCAGGATCAAGTCAGAAGGGTCAAGTGCAGGAGATAAGCTGTCTGTGGCAGTCCCTGTGTCCAAGGCTACAGAGCCCAGATCTTTCCGAAGGCGTTCCAGTTGTTCCTTCTGCTGCTGGCTCTGTGCACTGGCCACTGACTTCTTCAGACGTTCATATTCAGGACGATACTCCCTTTCATATTCTTCCGCAGCACTGGTGACTTGCATGAAGAGTTCATCTAAGCCTGTACCCAGAACAGCAGACACACCCACCACCCTAAGTGAGCTGTAAAATTCATCTAACACCAGGCTCATTGAACGAGTCAGGTTACTGAGGTATGTAGTCTCTTGATTCAAGGCATCTTGGAAAGCCTCAAAATCTTGCATCCATTCCACTGCAAAGCTGTGATCAATGATGTCAGTTTTATTCATAACCACAATGAAAGACAGCTTGGTTTTGTACAAGATGCTGCAGGCATAGAGCATATTGGACATGAAGGTCACTGGGTTGGTATTTCTTGATGTATCCATTACATAAATGACAACTGTTGGAAATGAGGACGCCAGGGCCTCAGTGATGATTGTCCCAGAAGCTGACCACGTGAACACCTCAATCTGTCCAGGTGTGTCAATCAAGACATATTTAGACATGTTCTGGGCCTTCTCAATAAATTTCATCACCTGATCAAATCTGGTAGCAAAGAGATTGAGTGACGTCACTATACCACCATTGGGCCCAAGTCCATACTGTTTCATGACTTCTTTATACTTCACAGTGTCACGAATATCAATATTGGCAGGAAAGGGTACTTCATGTACAGCTGGGTCCAGATTAATCACATAAAGTGGAGAGCCTTGGCTATGTAGATGTCCAGTAAGCCTAGACAAACTGAAGGCCGAGGACCCCCCGAAGCCTGCAACGCAGCTACCTCTGTGGGCGCCGCCGCCTCTGCGGGCGCCGCCATCTTTCTCCTCTAAAGATTTTATTTATTT